GAGAGCAAATGGGGGCCTGGGGTTAGAGAGAGACTTCTTGTCCCTCTGCTTCCCAGTTTGCTTTCCTGTATCCTCGACTCTTGGTGGCATTGCCAAGGAATTCTGGCAACTTTTCAGCACAAAACCATTCATTGTGTATGAGCCAGCACTGTCTGGAAGCTCCCAGTGGCATAGAGGGCCAGCTGTTCTTACTTGAAGAAGTGACCCCAAGGGACTATGTCCTGGAGGATGGTTAAAAATGCATTCGGGGTGTAACATAAGCTCTGGAGCAGTTGGCTGTGGTGAGTTTCTCTGAAGGTGCAGGAGGGAAATGAGAGGATCGCTTTAGGAGAAAATGAATTTTATTTTAAAAGGGAAGAACATTTGTACAGATCAAGCAATTACGTTTTTCAAAAGTGAATTAGTAAACTTTTTTGAAATAATAGCAATCTTATTCGATAAATATTTTTAAAATATTTTCTATATGCCAAACACTGAGCTGGGAACTGGAGATAAAAAGAAAATAAAATCAGCCATCAAGAGGCTCACAGTCAGTTGGGAGAAGAGAGACAAGATAGTGACGCAAGGACAAAATGACAGATGTAGGGACAGGTCTGTGCAGGTGGAGGACCAAGAGGAGGAGTCAGTAGCAGACTGGGGCATCAGTAGTATCTCTGGTAGAGGTGAATCTTGATTAACAATGAAAGGACAGTGGAAGCTAACTCTCTGAAGTAGGTAAAAAAGGCACTCCACGCAAGGTGAGCCTTTGCTTGGTACAAAACTCTGGGCGTGAAACAGCGTGATTGGGCATGGAAATGAAGGAAGGGAGAATTGGGGATTAGTCCCAGGTGGTTGGTTTCAGTGACAGGAGTAATGGCGATGCCACTCTTGGAGAGACAGGACTGGCCACATAATTTTGGGGGCCCAGTGCAAAATGAAAATATTCAAAACTTACTAAGAGTTAAAGATTGCAACAGCAGACTGTTAAACTAAGTATGGGGCCCTTCTAAACACGGTGCCTGTGCAGATGCACAGGTCACCCGCCCATGAAGCTGGCCCTGAGCAGCTAGAGTAATGGAGAAACAGCTTGGGCAGGAGATGATAAGTCCCATTTTGGGCATTCACGTTGAGGTGCCTCTAGGGTATCTGAGCAGAGAATTCCCAGCAGACAGTTGGAAAAGGAATGAAAGTCAGCATAGGGGTCTGGTATGGAGACACAGATAAGGGAGTCGTCAGTGTTCATGAACATGGAGGTCGAAACCATGTGGAATGAACAAAACTTCATCATGCTGCTCTTCCTTTTTTGTCTGTTTCTGCTTGGGGCATTCTTGTAGATGAAGCCAATGGATTATGAGCTCTGGACTTCTTTCCTAGGGTGCATGATCATTTTTCCTTTATTAGGCAACTCTGACCTGAACAAGAGCTTCTCCATTTTCTTCCACAAACAAGGCAGCCAAATAGAGTTATCAGTGGAAAAGCATTTTCCTGCTCTTAATCCTCATTTCCCAGCTTGGACTAGCAAATGAAAAAGGCCTCTCTCAGCTTTAAGGTTCTGAGTTACAAGCACAGGATTTTCACTCTAGGAAAGTTGCCCTTTAAGACAGTGTTGTGAACATTAAATAGATAATACATTTAAAAATTCTGTCAATGTGGCACCAAATGAAAGTTAACATGTTATATGAGGGACAGCTTTGCAAGTTAGGCTGCAGTAATTTATCCTTTGCTTAGTATTGATTTATTTCTCAGATGTCTTCTTTGGCAAATTTTGTTTTCTATTTGCTTTCCAGGAGGTTATTGTGAATATTAATTATAATAAATCCAAATTCTGTAAAGTCGCTCCAAGAAATAATCTAGTATTAGTAACGTAATGACCTGGATCTTAGATATAGAGCAATAGAGTTTTGCTTGAATATATCTATATACTATGATAAGGTTTGGAATATGGTCATTCTGTAGCAGGGGAATACAATTAGCGTGTTAACAGATCAGCATTTGGTTTATTATCTGTTACCTCAGAAGCATAATTTGTTGCTTTAAGGCACTAGGCTTTGGTGGTAAATGTTGGTCTGAAAAGGACTGACTGAACCAGGGTCTTCACATACAAACTAAAAATTCAAATACAATATCATTGTATTTGATGGATTGATAATAAAATTAAGCAGTTTTTAAAAATCAGTAATAATTAGTCTTATTAATGGAAGACAGGACCAAAACCTAATTAATACGTTGGCTAATAGTTCTTCCTTGACGTTGCTAGCTGATGTTATTTTGGGGGCTTGTCTGTACACATATTACTGCTCATTGTCGTGAAAATAATGTGATCTGTATCTGTATATAGGTGTCATGTACAGTGTTACGGTGATGTTGGGTATTTATTGGTTCTTTGTTTAACAGCATCCTTTCTCTTCACTCATAAGCCTCTTGATATCCTTGAGTCTTATGTAAATAGTGTACATTAGCTATTTGATTACATTGAGATCCAGAGATGGTATGTAATTTGCCCATGGCTACATATTTAGCAAAGTTAGGATGGGGTATGGTGTCTTAGCTTTTAGGTGTGCTCCTACACCACTAAATACTACTGTTATTTTGCTTTTGAATCTTCCTTGGTAGCCTAAATGATGTAATTCTTCTCCACTGACAACACTTTTAATTGCACAAGAGAAAAACCGTGCACTGACCACATTTCTGGGCCAGCAAGCACCTTGATATCTTAGACCTGTCATCTAAGGACAGAGTTTTAGTTCTTCTCTACTTTCTTCTAGTCAACATGTGGCTCAATGTATATCCAAATGAAAACTGCAATCAACTTACTGTGTATTTATGAATGTTTTGCCATCTAATGTAACTAGGTAATTGAAAGATATCTTCCCTTTCCCTTTACATGTTTGGCATGGTTCAGACATTGTTTGCAGTTTGAAATTTAAAATTCACTCCCAAGAAATTGCAAAGAAAAAAAAGATGAAGGATGATACCAATAGAATTTTCTATCCATCCTGTATGGTAATTTACCTTGTAGTTTTGAGGTTGACTCTGGAAGTGAAAAACCTAGCAATCCTAGTCCATGGTATTTGGAGGACTTCTAAATCTGAGGTAGTGAATTTTTAACATTATTGAATTTTAATTCACTAAAACCTAAATGTAAATAGCTGCAATGCTAGTGGCTGCCATATTGGACAGCACCGTGTTAGCCTCTTAGCAGTGTTAACTCTGCAAGGAGAGAGGAATTGCAAGTCCAGGTGGTGAGAAGCACATGATAATTTCCCTGCCTTTCTCTATTTACTTCTGTACCATTTAAAGTCTTGGTAAGCATGTGTTAGTTTTGTAATTTGGAGAGCATAAGTCACTGTGAAGAAGGTAAACGTGCCGTTATTGTCAGAGAGGACTTAGAAAGTTGGAAAGGATTTTCAACTTTTAGTCCAATGCCTTCATCTTTCTCAGGAGCACCTGAATTCCAGAGAAGAGAAGGGCACTTAACCTGGTGAGTGACAGAGAGGACTGGGACCCAGGCCTCCAGACTCCTGTTTGCATGGTTCTTTTCTTCTCATGATAAGGCGTTGTTGACATGAGCATGGTCACCGTTGCTATGTTTCTCATTTGCTCTAGAAATAAGTGACAAACAATGATTAACGTTCAAGTTCCACTGTTCATTGCTGGTATATAGGGAAGAGATTGACTTTTGTGTAGTAACCTTGTATCCTACAATCTTGCTATAATCCCTTATTATTTCCAGAAGTTTTTTGGTGATTCTTTCAAACTTTCTACATAGATGATCATGTCACCTGTGACCGATGACAGCTTTATTACTTCTTTCCCAGCTGTATGCCTTTTATTGCCTTCTGTTGCCTTTTTGCATTGGCAAGGACTTCCAGTGTGACATTGAAAACGGAGTGGTGAGAGGGGACATCCTTTTCTTGTACCTGATCCTAGGGAGAAATCTGAGTTTCTCACCATTGAGTGTGATACGAGCTGCAGGTTTTTTTGTAGCTATTTTTTGCCAAGTTGAGAAGGTTTCCTCTATTTCTAGTTTACTGAGAGTTTTTAACATGAATCGGTATTGGATTTTGTCGGATGATTTTTCTGCATTTCTGTGATATGATCGTGTGATTTTTCTTTTTCAGATTGTTGTTGTGATTGACTATATTAATTGATTTTCTTCTTTTTTGAGGAAGATCTGAGCTAACATCGGCTGCTGATCCTCCTTGTTTTGTTCAGGAAGATTAGCCCTGAGCAAACATCCATGGTCATGTTCCTCTACTTTATATGTGGGACGCCTGCCACAGCAAGGCTTGATAAGCGATGTGTAGGTCCGCACCCGGGATCCGAACTGGCGAACACTGGGCTGCCAAAGAGGAATGTGCAAACAACCGCTGCACCACCGGAGCAGCCCCTATATTAATTGATTTTTAGTGGCAAACCTGCCTTGCACACCTGGGATGAATCCCACTTGATTGTGGTGTGTAATCCTTTTTATACATTGTTGGATCATCCAATGGTTTAGACAAAGGATAGTAACTCCTAAAACTTGTAATCATTGATTAATAAACAGCACCTCTCAAATCAGTAATTTCCCATCATTTATTTTAGTGAGAATATCTTTTTTCTTTAATAATTATTATAGAGCACAATAATTCTCTTCAATGATTATTATAGTGAAAGTTCAGATAATACAAAAGATGATTCAATGAAAAATAAATCATCCTCATATCCCTGACCCCAGATGTACTCCTTAGGGGTCACTACTCTCTACAGATTTTTTTGGTGCATCCTTCCAGAATTTTCTATTTAAAAAACAATGTTGACCATCTTTTATTAGGGAATAATAGCAACCCCATGGAGGGGTAGTTTGTATGGGCCAGAATGACCTGGGCTTGTATTTGTGCTGGATGAATGGAATTCACATCCCGGTTTTTTGGAATGTCCTCACTGCTTCTTCCGTTGCATCATTTTGTTTTCCTCCTTTCCAGTGTGACTGGAATAAATGCTGTTCCCCCTTCTCTGCTTGCCTCTGTGTCTTTCAGACTCAGGATGTCTTCAGAGAGGACCTTTCCTCCCAAGGACGCTGTTTAAAATTGGACTCCCTCAGTGACGTGTGAAGAACAGTCAGAGAAGCTGAAAGACATCTGACATGTGAGATTCCTTTCAAGGAATAGTGATTTACATAGATCCCCGAGGACCCGAGACAGTGGGGACAAGAGGAAAGGGGCCTGGCCTCAGGGAGGAGGAAAGCGGAAAGGGAAGGCCTGGAGATTTCTCAGTCGTGTGTGAGCGGGATGCAGCGAGGGTATCAGATGCATGTCCATCTGCTGGTCCCTGGTCTCATTTTTGCAGGAGGGCTTAGAAAGGTTCTCCAGTCGATCAGTTGATCAACCAGTGAGCATTTATGGAACCACACAATTTTAATGCCCCATCACACACACTGTCGGAGTCTTCTCTCTAAAGTGACACTCCAGATCACATTGCTCCTTGTCACTTTTTCATAGCACTTATGGCTGTTTATTAACTCCTTCTTCCTTTGGGTGCCTGCTTGCTTGTCTTCCCAGGTAGACGGGGGCAGGGATGCTGCTGCCTCCCAGGGTCTAGAACATCCCCAGTGCCTGGGACACCACAGGTGCTCAACACAAACATTGGTTAGCTGAAAGAATCCATACGTGAACACACTTTACCAAATAGTCATGACAGTGGTGCCACAGTCTGTTCAGTACTTGCTACAGTGCCAGCCCCCCACTAAGTACCTTTCCTTTCATTTCATCCTAGAAGCAGCCCTATGAAGTGGGAATTCATGTGTCTGTGTTACAGGTGCGGAAAATGGGCCACAGAGATGTATCCTGTCCCAAGTCCCACAGTCAGTGAGTGGGGGACTGAGATTTGAACCCTGCTCTGTCCAAGACTAAGAAGTTTAACAAACTAAAGTGTAATCCCTAGAGATGTCAGGCTAAGCGGTACCTTCAGAAAGAGGGCCGGCCAAAGAGCAGGTTTCCGCCTTCCAGGTGAGGTCCGGCGATGGTAGGAGACCAGGCACCTTCTCTTCAGGAACTGAGATGGAGACACACACAAGCACACACACACACACAGAGCCTGTCAACAGAGTGCTGGGGAGCGGGTTTATCCCTGATGCAGGTTTATGGGAGATATTTTGAGCAGTTGTGAATCATTTAAGTGCAGAGGCAGAAACGCTCCCTGGCATTGAATCCTAACTGAAAATTGTGCATGAAGTTAAATTAGAGAGGTTCAGCAGTTACTCATTTATTTTCCTGTTAATGAATGGGGGAGAGAAAACCACCCTTCAGCCGTCAGCCATGTGTCTCACCTTTTTGCTTTTCTTTCCTGGCTCTCTGAATGGCCCCTGCTTGTTGTGAGTCTTTTTATTTTTGTTATGTCATGTGTTGTCAAATACCCGAGAGCCATTTTCCCCTTCTGGGTGCACAGAGAGTGCTCAGTCTGATGCATTTTCCTACCAGGAGAGCTCCAGCAGAGAAGAGGCCTAATGAGCGCCCTCATCCTGGCAAACCCCCTCCTTCTCCGAGCCCCACTGCTTTCCCGCCTCCTAGGCTTTATGCTGTTTGGGGACCAACTGAGCCGATTATGGTGAATTTATACAGCACGTTGTATTTTGTAAAAGGCCTCACCTTCAGTTTATGGTCATTTCCTAAGTCACTCACTAAACAGGGAAGGAGGAGAACCTGGGGGGTGCAGGCCTCACAGCCAGGCTCAGGATGGTGAGGTAACCGGGCCAGGGCAGAACTTTCAAGAGGGACCAGGTGCATCTTGTGAATGAGGGTCAGGCCTGTTCAGAGTCTCTGAGCGGCATCCTCTCACGTCTGTTTGTTTAACAGATTTATTGGGATATAAAATACATGCCATACAAGTCACCCTTTTAAAGTGGTTTTCAGTATATTCACAGAGTTGTGAGACCGTCACCACAGTCAATTTTAGAACACTTCATTCCCTCCAAGGAGACATCAGCCCCCTTGGTTGTGGCTCACCCAACCTCTGCATTTCTCCCAGCCCCAGGCAACCACTAATCTGCTTCCTATCTCCATCGATTTGCCTGTTCTGGACAGATCACATGATGGAATCATACAACGTGTGGTCTTTGCGACTGGAGTCTTTCAGTTAGCATAAGGTTTCCCAGGTTCCTTTACATTGTCGTGTGTATCAGGACTTCATTTCTTATTATTACCGAATGAGATTCCATTGTATGGATCTACCACAGTGTGCTGATCGTTCATTGGTTGATGGACATTTGAGTTGTTTCCGCTTTTTGGCTCTTATGAATACTGCTGCTGTGAATCCGTGTGTGCACATTTTTGTGTGGATGTATGTTTTCATTTACCCAGGAGTGGATAGAATTGCTGGTTTATGTGGTAACTGTATGTTTAAATTTTGAAGAACTGGCCGACTGTTTTCCACGGTGGCTGGACTATTTTACATTCCCACCGACAGTGTGTGAGGGCTGTGATTTCTCCATGTCCTCACCAGTAACACTTGCTATTATCTCACTTATTGATTGTAGCCATCCTAGTGGGTGTGACGTGGTAAAGTGGATTTACACTGTGGCTTGGATTTGCATTTCCCTGATGGCTGCAACCTGCATCTTGACAATGTGTTTTTCCTTAGGTGGCTGAACGTTCTGTTGGGGTTAACATTTGAACAGGTGAGGAGAGTGGGGCTGTCTCTGGAGCCCGACTCTCCTCAGGCAGCCTCATGGCCATGGGCGTCCCCCCACCCTAAGCCTTTTCCATCTGTAGGGCTGGAGGTGGTGGACCATGACCGAACCACTGCCCAGGCCCTCACTCTGTTAGCCACCGTCAGAGTTGGCCTTCTGCTGTACTGGCCGTTTTTAATTATCACTCGATCCACTAGAAAAATGAAGATTCAAAGCAATTTGCTTTTAAAATTCAGTTACAGAGTTGTCCTGTCATACCTACAACACTAGTTATGAAGTTTCTAAGGTCACAAGCGTTTTTATGAAGTCACTGTACATCAAGCCCACAGCACAGAAGAATGTGTGTGTTTTCCAGCTTTCCTTTGTCCTCAAGAATGAAGAGTAAACAGAGCCAAACCCTTGGAAATATAGTTTTAATTAAATTCTTTATTTAGAGATAGTTGTAAATTCACAGGTAGCTGTAAGAAGTAATACTGAGAGATCCCATCCTTGGATCTGTTTCACTGTGAGAGAAAGTGAAGATTTACTGAGGAATTGGAAAATAACTCTGGGAGTGAGCTAAGAATTCAAACTCTGCTGCCATCAGCTCCTGCTTTTCCCAGGATGAGGGCCATAGGACCCCAGGATCATATGAGCTGCTCCCAAGGATGGTTCTTTCTTGACAGGGGCTCTTCAGCTTTGCAATTTGTTTTGGCTTAAAGTAGACAAACCTAATATCACACCCCTCTCTTTCTTAAGCTCATCCCCACTCTTTAGGGTCAGATGCTAATATTGAGTACTTTCTACCATGGCTGCTGCTACCCCTAATCCACTGAGATTTTAAAAGAAATTATGCCTGCCAAAGATCTCATTTTAACTTAGACCTACCCACACTAGGAAAAAAAAATCCTCTGAATGAGGCAAAGAATGTAAATGAGCTAAAGATTATAGAGTTGGTCAGCGTAGCACCTGGCACATCAGCTGAGTCCAGTGCTCTCACTGCTCCCACACGTTTATAGAATTATCACTCTGTGTGAGGCCCTGCTTGAGGTGCTAGGGTCACAGTCAGAGAACAAAACACACAGAAAGCCCTGCCCTCATGGAGCTTACATTCTCCTAGGGGAGACCGAAACATTTAAAACAACAACAACAACAGTAATATCTGGAGTCTGCCAGTTGTTGGTAAATGCTTTGGGTGAAATGTTGAGGGGAGGGGCAAAGTGGGAGGGAAGGGGAGTGGGGATGGATTCCAGTTTCTCTTGAAATTTTTACTAGCATGCACTTGCAGTACGTTACATCCCCAGGACTTATTTATCTTGTAACTGGAAGTTTGTACCTTTTGATGGCCTTCATCCATTTCACTTACCACTCAGCCTCTGCCTCTGGCAACCATCCATCAGTTCTCTGTCTCTATGAATTCTTTTATTTTTAGATTGCACATATCAATGAGATCATATGAGGTTTGTCCTCTGACTTATTTCACTTAGCATATTGCCCTCAAGGTCTATCCAGGTTGTTGCAAATGGCAGGATTTCCTTCTTTTTTGTGGTTGAATAATATTCTTCTTCCATCCATGGAAACTTAGGTTGTTTCTATGTCTTGGCTATTGTGAATTATGCTGCAGCGAACATGGGATGTAGATATCTTCTCAATGTAGTGATTTTTTTCCTTCGGTAAATACCCAGAAGTGGAATTCCTGAATCATATGGTAGTTCTCTCTTTAATTTTTTGAAGAACCACCATACTGTTTTCCATACTGGTTGCCCCAACTTACACTCCCACCAGCAGTGCACAAGGGTCCCCGTTTCTCCACATCCAGTGGATTCCAGTTTTAAACAAGGTCAGGGAAGCCCTCCCTGGGAAGGTGGCCTGAGAGGAGGGGTTGGCGAACCTTTTCTGCAAAGGGCCAGAGAGTACATACTTTATCCTTTGCTGGCCAACTGCTCAACAACGTCTTAGTGCAAACGCAGCCCTACACACTACATAAAGGAATGAGCATGGCTGTGCCTCATGAAACTTCATTTACACAAACAGGCAGTAGACCAAGTTTGGCCACAGGCTGCAGCTCGTCAATCCCTTGCATTAGAGTAAAATGTGCAGGAGGTGAGAAATCAGGCCCTGCAGATATCTGTGGGGAGAGCATTCCAAGCAGAAGGATCAGCCAGTGCAAGGCTCTGGGTGGTGTGAGAGAGAACAGTAAGAGTTGATTGAACAAGCGCAAGGGCAGCAGGAGATGAAGTGAGAGAGATGGTCGGGCCAGACCTACAGGGGTTTGCAGGCCGGTGTAAACTCAGTACATGTTTATTAAGAAGATTCAAAAGAATAATCAATGAACTGCTTTTTTAACAATGGAAGTATGACATGCTGATGGAAAAGAATTATAACTGTACAGTAAAATTATAAGTGTACAGCCTGCCACACTTTTATAAAGCGAACACTCTGGGGTGACAGCACCCAGATCCAGAAACACCCCATGACTGGC